GCTACTTTTCGTCAACTTGGTACCTGGCACAGGGCATGGAGTTCATCTTAAAATGTGTGTGTTGGACTCAAATGAAATGAAGGAACTAAGCTTTGATCAACATCAGCCTTTAAAGTATCTGGCAATTTATTTTCAGCAAAGGATATAGAAGCTTAAGTAGATTTAGGGGTGTGTGTGTTTGTGTGTGTCTGTGTGTTCTGTTAAGAAAGTACACGATATGCCACACGATATGGAAATAGACATTTATTGAAGAAGATACAAAATATAAGAAACATTGTACATAGAACAATGATGCCTCAGTCCCCTCAAAAGTAGGTGCCTTGGGACCTCCCACAGTTCTCCCAGCATCTGCTCCACTCTTCAAAGCATTGCAAAATCCTTGGTTGGAATCGCCATCAGCTGCCCCATTGTATTTTCCTGAATCTCATCGATGGTATGAAATCTCTTCCCTTTCAAAGGTGATTTTAGTTTTGGGAAAAGCCCGAAGTTGTACGGTGTCAAATGTGGGTTATAGGGAGGAGTCACTTGGGTGATTTGATGTGTTGCCAAAACTGCACTAGATGTGACAGATGTGATGAAGCTGTGAATCACCAGTTGCCCATAGCTGTGGCTGTTTTTGTCACACTGCATCTCTCAATCCGGGAAGAATATTGAGGTAGTACTCCCTGTTAACTTTTTGGCCTGGAGGGGTGTATTCATGACGGACAACACCTTATCAATCAAAAAACACAGTTAACATGGGCTTGATCTTGCAACTTTGAAGCGCCTTCTTCGGGCGTGGACAGCCAGGTGATTTCCTTTGGGACAGCTGGGCCTTCATTTCAGATCATAGCCAGAGACCCAGGATTCATCTGTGGTTATGACCTGAGGAGATCTGGTTCTTTGGTAGTGGTTTGAATCAAGTTATTAACAACTGCAGTACGCCATTGCTTCTGCTCTGGTAGTAGACACTATGGAACAGATTTTGCCATGACTTGTTTCATGCCAAGATCCTGCATCAAATCGGACACAGCAGTGTTTGGAATTCCTAGATCAGCTTTTAGTTCTCACACTGTCAGTGGCTGGTCTTTATTCATTGCAGCCCATATACGTTCAACATTCTCAGGTGTTCAGCTTGCTGCATACCTTCTAGAACATGGGTCACTTTCAACAGATTCTTGACGATCTTTGAAGCATTTGTGCTACACTTTTATGTGCACTGCACTCATTGCATCATCCCTGAAAGCCTTCTGAATCATTCAAATAGTTTCCATGGGGGAATGTTCAGGCTTAACGCAGAATTTCATGCAGATTGGATGCTCTACTCACTCAGTCATTTTGAATGCAACAACCACACAGTACACATGCTCACTCAATGGCATCTACTGCCCCCACTGACTAGTCACAGTGAAGTTGTCATTGTTCACACATGTGTGTTCCAGTCCATTTGACGTTGCACAAACTGTTCTCATTATATTAATAGCAGCTGGACTTTTCTGGACAGAACCATATTTTGTTCTTCAAGTTTTGGATAAGGACCTCTTTTTATGTCTCATAGGCCTGATGGGCACGACTCTTACAGAGTATTAATGAAAATAGATGCAGCAGCAATGACAGTTTATTTTATATTTTTCACAAGTTTATTATTCTAAGGAAAATGCAGCATGTTGTCAGTGTGGGTGTTATATTGTTTCATTGTAAAAAAATTTATTGAGCTTAATGGCATCACAAGTAATAAACCTGCCATATAGTGACGAAGTATCACTCAACCAAATTTGATAATCATAAATTTGGGAAGAGTATATGCCTTTTGGTATGACTGGTTTCCTAATTTTAAAAAAGCTATAAAAAGGCAGAAAAATGCCTTCAGAGGATGTTGCCAAATGGGTAAAACAGAGCTACTATTTATTTTTAGTCTATAAATACCATCACTCCTAGGAGATGAACAGGTAATATTTACCGGGCACCTTGTAAAATTTCAATTTCAGTAGTTGTCATTTTTTATGGCTTTGTACAGCCACAGGACTTTAGTGGGGGTTAACTTTGGATTTTTCATCTGCGGCAAAAGTGAAAGGTCCCCGGCACCTGATTCCTGGCTGAAAGCTGCCCCTTTGTCCCTTTTCCCGGGGGACCAGGCCAGGCAAAATATTTCTTTTCTTTGTGTGCATTGTCAACTCAATAAAATGGAAGATCCACAAGACCGTGGAATTTTGTCTGTGTTGTCAAAATCGGTGTATCTTAAAACACTTAACACACAGCACCTGGTACAATGCAGGTGAGCAAGGGTCTCCGGTGGGCCTGGAATCCATCAAGACATAGATTGTGGAGTTCAAATTTCCTGGGCATTTAAAAATATAAGCTCTATCCCCAAGTTTTAAATGAAGCATTTCATTCTTGTTAAAGAAATATTGGGCATTGTTCAGGTGGGGGGTTCTAGTTTTGAAGAATGGATCTTTTTTTGGCCTCCTGAAATCACTGTGAAGATCAGTCATAGCATTTATTTTTATAAGAAAGTACCAGTAGACTGCCCGGTAGCAGTTTTAGAAACATCGTGTGTGTGTGTGCGTGTGTGTGTGTGTGTGCTCGCGCGCGCGACCTGTGCTGGGTATATGCAATAAGAGGTTTTTGGGAAAAATTTTTAAAATTCTCTTTCCCCTTTGACATGAACTTTATGTCACAATACTCCTTTTTCTTTTTTCCTTAGCATTGGGGAGCTAAGCCTCCTTGGAGATAATTTTTCATCTTCTTTTAAAAGCAGAGTGTTACAAACTACACGCCTCTGAAGCCTCGGGTCAGGGCGGGCTTGCACACAGCGAGGGGGTGTGCTGTCTAGTTCTGATGATGAGGCTGGGGTACAGCGAGAGTCTTCCGAGCTTTCCCCTCTTTTTGGTGTGGGAAGTGGGTACGCTGTGGGTAGACTCCAGGCCTCCTTTTCGGTTTTCCTTAAGACCAAGTTTGGATAGCCATGGTAAAGAAAGAGTGAGTTCTGAAATTATTCAGAAACTGGCACCCTGGTTGAAATAGAAACATTTCATACCTTCCTCCATCCACAGCTTGGGTGGTACCGAAGGTGTTCAGTGAGCCTGCAGTGCACTTCTGGGTGTCTGCCACCCTTTGTGATCCATGTCTTCACATTTTTTATTGTCCTGGGAAACAGGACTGCAGTTTAGAAATCTGGATGGACTTCAAGAACTCATTGTTTCTCAGCTCATGCTTGTAGATACTGCAATGTGGTTTTCCCCATCCCTGTCTCGCCCTGAGATACGGGTCAGAAGATTCAAGTTCCTTGCTAGCTGGGTGGCCGGGCAGGTTACACCTAACTGTTCTCAGCCGTGTTTTTCTCACCTGTCCATGCGGGTGACAGTGCCAACCTCTCTGATTTGTCGTGAGACCCAAGTGAGACCAGATATGAGGAAGAACATCAAAATTGTGGAAGATAGTATCCCAAAGGCCATGCATTTCACCCCCTGCCCCCTTGATGTGAGGTTTGTGCACTTGAAAAATTAAAATTGCTATTCGTACTGTAGCTCTTTTTCCTTTTTGAGCCGGTAGAAAGCTGGGAAGCAAATTTGTCAGGCACTTTTAGCAAGGACTTCATGAAATTCATTTGTGCAATAGCCTCATTTCTCCATCTGTTTTCTGCCTCTGTATTTAACCTTTGCTCTTTTTTTCTGATTTGTGCTTTCTGGCACTTTAAAATGTACCTTGATATAAGCAGCTTTAAATTCTTTGTGGAACAAGTTATGGGATGAAGAATCAACCAAACAAGTAAATGTTATTGCACCAATTTGCTTTCTTCTCCTGTAAGCTTTAGAGTGAGGGTGGATAACCAGCTGTTCCTTGGGAAAGCGGTTCGGATGCAACTGCTTTCTCCACAAGGGCAACCCAAGTGTCGGTGCCAATCTGTTCGAGAGAGACCACTTCTGGTCGAATGGGATGGATTTTGTCAGGTCCTTGACTGAAAAATAACCTGTAGTTCTTAGGTGATACCATTTAAATATTTTATTTATTTGTTTTAGAGAGCAGAAGGGAGGGAGAAACATCAATATGTGGTTGCCTCTCAAGAGGCCCCCTACTGGGGACATGGCCCACAGCCCAGGTACGTGCCCTGACTAGGAATAGAACCGACGACCCTTTGGTTCGCATGTTGCTCAGTCCACTGAGCCACACCAGCCAGGGTGAGCTGGTACCATTTAGAATGAGGAGTTTTTATAAGAAAAATGCAAATAAACTTTATTTGTATTGAAATCAGCCATTTCTGATGAACTTTATTTCAGGTTTTTCCTTTTGATAATCAGGGAGCGTTGAGCTGAAGAAAGTATTTTATTGCTTCAAGACTGGTTCCTCTACAAATTTATTTTTTACTATCTTTTAGAGTGCCCATATTTGAGACAAAGTTCTGGGCCATATCCAGAAATGAGAAATACAGACATGGCCTTATAAAACTAATGTTCATATTTCAAGTATTGTTAATATTTTATCATAATTTTATTTTTTTGCATTGTATGTGACATTGAAAAGTCAGGCTGGCTTAATAATCATTCTCTTCAGAGGTAATTTTATTCGCTTACACCTACTCTCTAAATTGAAAGCCTACTGCTACAAATGGATGCTCTGTGAGCAAGGTCTGGTTTATTGGCACAGCTAGAGCAAATTACTGGTCAGTCTGAGACTCAAACCGTAGTTTTGTTTCCCGATCAGTGCTAAGTTTATATCTCAGGGAGTATAGTTCATGCATATTTTTTGGTCTAGCTAACAAAGTTGAAGTGAAATGATATACATATAATACCAAGTATTTCAGAGTTTTTGAACTTCTATTGTATCTGATTGGCCATTATAAGAATTTCAGCCAACCTACAAAGCATGAATTTGTCTCACAGTTGTGAGGTAGTTCTTATATAAATTTAATCTGTAGAGCTCATGAGAGTTTTTTTGGCAAAACATGTCCCCAGTGGTTATATTGCTGTGCTGATGAATACGTTGGAGATGTAATTAAATAGAATTTATTTTATTTTTTTCAGTTCTGTCGGGAGGTCCGTTGCCTCAAGGTCATGAATTTGAACTGTATGAAGTTAGATTTCACTGGGGAAGAGAAAACCAGCGTGGTTCTGAGCACACTGTTAATTTCAAAGCTTTTCCCATGGAGGTAAGAGTAACAAACCATCTTGGAAAATTCTTATTTTTCATGGGAAGTATTCAGTGATTATTGAAAATGGTTTAGTTTAAAAGTAGATGCATAGCTTTTGAATTTTACCAGTTTATATTAAAATTAAAAAGTATGTAATGAAATGTAAGCTTGGAGCAGCAAATGAAGGTTCCCAGGGACTTTAGTGGGGGAGGTTCCCCACTTCAGTGGGCTTGAAGAATGCACATGGGCTACTGGCCGTAAAAGTTAAGTAAAGCCATTAAGTTTCATCATATTATTACCCTTGTAAAAATTCTGCTGCCTCTGCAAATTCAGTAGGTCACTTTTGTAGATGCTCTGAATCAATGATAAGCTGAAAACAAATAACTTTTGGAGAAACCTCAACACTAATTACAAGCCTAGTTTAGCTCTAGTTGAAGTGTCATTTCATTCTTGGGACTCGGTTCCTCCTGTCAGCACAATTGCCTTCTCCTTGTCCCCTGCTGCCAGTGGACTTGCTAGATTACTGCTGTGGCACTGATCTCGTGGATTCCAACCATTTGTGTCTAAAGTGTCTTTCTCACTGACTGTGGCTTCTGTTAAGGACTGAATGTTTGTGTGCCCCCACCTCCCGATTTGTGTATTGAAACTCTTCCCCACTCCAATGTTTTGGTAGTAGGAGATGGGAGAGGTGATACTGAGGTCATGGGGGTGGAGCCTTTGAATAGAATTAGTGTTCTTCTAAGAGTCCAGAGAGCTTGCTTCTCTACTCTCTGCCTTGTGAGGACAGGAGGAGAAGAGAGCCGTCTATAAACCGGGAAGTGGACCCTCACCAGACACCAGATGTGCTGGCACCTGATCTTGGACTTCCCAGCCTACAGAAGGGAGAATTAAATGCTTGTTGTTTAAACCTCCGGACTGGTAATTTGTCACACGGCCTTAGCTGACATAGCTCTCGAAGAAAAAGTCTTCCCTTCTTCTCCTTTTGATTTGCATCCTTTAGTGCAGTGCTAGAGACATCAGAGAGAAACCATGGTGGTCAAATTGAGGAGATGTCTCTGTTGGTCTCGGCCTCATATATATTTCTTTTAGAAGGATGCACAGTTCTGTCCAGGATGTAGCCCGTCAGTGGCAGGTAGCATTATATATGGGTGGATGCTGAATGCCGGTCTTCCTTCTCTGTTGTCCCCAGCTGCACATGTACCTAGTTTTATATGGCACTGCTCGTGGTCAGATACACATGTTCAGTTCTGCCTCAGTGGCTGGAAATCACTACTGTGTAATTTGTATAAATGTACCTCAAAAATGAAGTATAGTAAGTATTTCTCAATATTAGTTATAATTAAAAACTCCCTTTGGAAGCTCAGAAGATCCCTTTCATTAAAAAAAACTTGCCCTGACTGGTGTGGCTCACTTGGTTGGGTGTTGCCTCACAAAGCAAAAGGTTGCTGGTTCGATTCTCATTCAGGGCATGTGCCTGGGTTGTGGGTTTGGTCCCTGGACCAGGTACATAAGAGAGGCAGCTGGTCTATATTTCTCTTCCTCTCTTTTTCCCTCCCTTCCCCTCTTTCTAAAAATAAATAAGTAAAAAATTTAAAAAACCTCAAGTCTTAAGGCTAAAATATTTAATGTTTTGAGGATAGAAGGGGGAAAACAATAGCAGTATGTTGAAGAGAATATATGATATGTAATATGTGTGTATATATGTATATGTGTGTATATACATATATACACACTCTTGCGATGATGAGGACAATAACAGCTTATTGAAGGTTTTGATGGGGAAGGTTGGATCTTCAATGTCACCTTTGTAGGGGCTTTTTTCTCAAAGCTTACAAACATCCTCTCAATTCAAATACCCCAGGACAATTCTGCCCTGTCTCTGCGTCACCTCTGGCTACCGCTCTGTCCTCACTCAACCTGAGAAGGAGAAGCTCACACCAGAATGGCTCAGAGAAGAAGGAGGACACACAACGATCCAGAACAATTAAACCTCCTGGGCAGTGGAGAGCAAAGTGAGGGCTGCCAGGGCCGAGGCTCTGCTCTATTCTTTGAATTTGAAAGGCTGCTTAATCATTTTGTCTCCACCAGTCCTCAAAGATACACTCAAATAATAAAAAGTTTCGGGAGAGACAGGAACGACTGGGTAGGCAACAGCTTCTGGACGGGAATTCAGTGGCTTTGCTTGTGACACACAGTGTTTAGCCTTGGAAAAGTTGAATTAGATTAGGTGGGTCAGTGGTGTGTGCTCTTTGCTCTGCGGCTGAATAGAATTTCTGGGCCAGACGTTCCGACTGGTCCTGCTCCTCAGTGGTGGTGTGCCCGCTCCGGCCCATTAATCACAGGTAATGGTTTGTTTGGAGTGAAAATTAAATTCTTGTAGTGAGGCTTTGTTTCTGCAGAAATATTTGTCTTCAGCATCATGGGATTACTCACTGTAATTTTTCCAAACTGTATTATGAATAATATTTATATGTTTCGTTACCCCAGATTATCCCTCAACCAATCTAAGAGAAGATACTTGTATCAGTCTCCGATGTTTGTTTAGTGACATACCCGACCGAGTGCATAAATGTTGTGGGTGCGGAGAACTGAAGGGGTGGCTCCGAGCCAACTGGGTTGTTTGTTTGTTTGTTTTGTTTGTTTGTTTTGTTTGTTTCAGTGGAGGCTATGGACCCTGCGCTGGGCTTTAAGAAGGACAGGGACACGTGGTGTGCTGACGAGGAGAGAGGAACTCTGCACAGACTAGACTAGGAGGGAGTGAGATGGCTGGTGTGGGGGTGGGTCAATAACTTGCCACTGGTGCCCTGGTCCTGAACTGCCATTGAGGGTCACCTTGAACACAAGGGTGTAGTCAACTGGACAGCTGTGTGTGGGGACCAGGTGCCCTTTTGGGTACATGTTTAAAAAACTTTAAGACACTTTCCCATATTTTATTTACATTTTAGGACTAACTTTAATTTCTAAATCGAGTATCAATACCTATTTCCTTTCTGTTGATTTTGCTTAAACTCAAATGGTTGGTTTATTAAACATTGTAAACAGATATTTATTATGTCTGTTACATGTGACACAAGGATGGCTTTTAACAGAAATTCATCGACTTCCTTCTTGGCTTTTAAAAATTATAAATACAGATTCTGAATGTGTTTCAATCCTACTAGAAGCCAGTACTCACTTTGTTTCAAAAAGTAACACAATTTGTCACTTTAAACAATTTAAACTGAAGCTCTTTTCTTAAGCAAGATGGATAAAGCATGCCATTTTTGTTCCTTCTTAAGATTTTTAGTTTTCAGAAACACAGATTTCTCACCATGCTTTCATCTTATAAAGCCTGAACTCTTTTATACAACTACTTCAGGTTTATGCTTAATGACAGTAACTTAACAAGAAAAAAAATTGTGTTGCATTTTTCTTTCTGTTACCTGAAACATAACTTTATTTAATGTGTGGATATTCTGCATTGTGAATTTAATCAAGACAGCCACGTGAGTTGTTGATTTAAGACAAGTTTGAGATCTATCAAGTTAATTTCTGTTTGTTCGTCCTGATGGCTGTGGAAGCTTCATGTTTCCTTTGATGTCATTAGACCTGTTTGCTTTTGAAATCCAATCATCAATGCCATGTGAGTATAAATGTAGCTCTTTTGCTAACACAGGTATGATCTGTGCATCTGCCATACCACTAGAATTATTCCATTCTTATTAATTTTTGTTACAAATCTAACCAACAAAAAAACTGCTAGGTACATAGATGCACATTAAACTTTCAGACTATATATTTTATTTTCATCATCTGTCTTTGGAGACAGCCATCTTCTTTGCCACTTCAAGGTAGCCTAACTTCGTGGTCTGTATAACTCTTGCTAAATATGATTAATTGTCATACACGAACAGCTACTTTCATACTTCAATGGGAGAATATTTCCCAAGCATTTAGATTTTATTCTGGATTAGTAAAATTCTAATTTTTATAATTTTTTAATTACAGTTGATATTAAATATTATTTTATATTAGTTTCAGGTATACAACATAGTGGTTGACATTTATATAATTTATGATAGTATCCACCTGACACCATACATAATATTACAATATAACTGACTATATTCTTTATGCTTTAGTTTGCATCCCCATGACTATTTTTTAACTACCAATCTGTACTTATGAATCCCTTCAACTTTTTTACACAGACCTGGGCTAGTAAAATGTAAAAAAAAAAATGGGGGTGGGATTAGGAGATCAACAGCATGACCAAGTTTTATTTTTCCAAATAAAAGCATTACTTGGGACTTCTGGTCAACATAGTGGCATAGGTACTCAGATACTTCCATAACCACATCAAAATTACAACTCAGCTACAGAACAATCATCATTTGGTGCTGCCTGAAATATAGCTGAAAAATATAAGAAGCCATAAAACAACTAGGGAGTTAAAGAAGAAGCCACATTGAGTGTGGGAGGAGGGGTGAGACACAGAACAGGCTGACCCCCACACACAAGGATAAAAATAGGGAGGGATATCTCAGCTACAGAGGTCCCCCCTGAAGGGTGAGGGGTCGCAGCCCTGCCCCATCCCTCCAGCCCAGGCTTGTAGTGCCAGGAAGAGAAGTCCCCATAACTTCTGGCTTTAAAAACCAGGTGGGATTGTGGGTGAGATGGGAGGCTTCTGGAATCCCAGGCAGTTCCTCTGAAAGGGCCCTTGCACAGACTTATTTGGACTCACTCCCCCTGAGCTCCAGCACTGGGGCAAGAGCTTGAAAAGCACGAGAGAAGTATGTGGAGGAACAGAAAGTTGTTAGATTTAGGTGAGTGCTAGAGGAGTAGCTTTCTCCTAGACAGAAGTACTGGTAGAGGCCCTTGTTCTTTTGATGAGACCTCCCCACACGGAGCCAGCTCCCTATCTGAGACTCCATCAAACTGGCTCACACCGTTTGCCCCAACCTGGCAACCTGCCGAGGCTCTTCCCCACCCATCTTTCAGGCCCAATGAAGCTGTTTTCAGTGGTGTTTTCATAAGAA